CCCCCCCCCCCCCCCCCCCCCCTCCCCAGGAGAACTTCAGGAACTGTCAGGCGCGGGCAGAGAGGTGTTTTCACGATGGACGGACGGAAGGGGAAGACACATCCGAGGAAGAGGTATTGTACACATTGCGGGGTAATGCGACGGTGGTCCTGGTTACGAGCGGGGTAGTTCGATGATCGTTCGATCGTTGCGACGCGATCTTCGCCGCGTCATGAATCCTCGGAACGACTGTGCATGCTACTGTCGATACTTGTGAAATATTTTCTCTTGAGTAGGAAAAATATGCATACACATGTTGCACGTGGGCACGGAAGAAACATTTCTTGCACGCGTAGGTACCCTAGATGGTCTAGAGGGGGGTGATCGAGATGCATGTTGTTTTCGTTATCGAACTTCACTTTTTTTTCATTTCGACCTCTATACGAGCAAGGTACGTGTGTAGGTGTTGTATTCACTGTTGTTGGTGCCGTGTCTTCAACGGAATACTTTTGGTCAGCAGCACCCGTTCCAGACAAAACCCCTATGGAAAAGAGATGTGTTGCACAGTTTCAGGGATGGTGGAGGAACCCCTACCGGATACTGGGCACATCGTACATGACACAAGATAACACAACCCCTTGACCGATTTTCGAAGCTCGATTTCTCAACTGCAGGAACAGTCACAGCGCCGAAAACGGCGGCGTTGAAACCGTCTTGTCGAGGGCTTTTCGAAAATGTATCGTTTCGTTTATGAATCCTCTTCATCGTGGAGTAATCGAGCTTTGAAAATCGGTCCAGGGGGTGTGTTATCTTGTGTCATATTCGATGGTGGTGGTTGTGCGGCCAAGGTCCTAGGCCCTCTTACATCGGGGTCCCCTCTTATGTATCGGAGCAACGAATGTGCTGGACTTTTCTGAGTCTCTGAGCGCCGTGTTGCCTGGCGGTGGTTCTGATGTCTCTTCTGTATCTCCCTCCCGATGGCAGGAGTTGCGGGTACTGATCGAGCATGCGGACGGTCTAGGCATCTTCTACGGAGATGGAGCCGTTTCGAAAGACCACGTCGTATCCTATCTACAAAGACCTGGCCCCCACCCACAGGTGTGGTCTTGTCTGTCTCGAGATAGGCATACATACGAGAGGGTATACGTTTTGATGTGCAAGAGGGTGAGCAAGAGCGAGAGAGACAGAGAGACAGAGAGAGCTCGATTCAATACCATCGAACATCTTGTGAAGAGGAGCATTTCCTGCGAACGGTATTCGTTTCATCACCTTCTCCGTGTCATGCTTTCATGTGCGCTGTGGTTTTGGCGCAAGTGGGTTGGTTGGTTGTATGGGATACCGCCACAACACAATACCGCGGGCGGGTTTTGAAAGCTCGATCACTCCACACCTCGAAGAGGACGCCAAATCAAATAGTAGGAGTCACTTTTGGAAAGCTCTCGACGAGGCGGATCCAACGCCCCCATTTTCAGGCACCGCCGTCGCTGCTGTTTTTGAGAGCCGGCCCAGGGGGGGTGGTATCTTACGCAAGGCAATCTACGGTATGCCGAAGGTTCCTGGTCCGGAAACGTAAGGTAGTTGTTTTGTTGCAGGTCAGCAACGTTGTCGCGTAGGCGGATGCTTGTTGGTTTCGTTTGGTTGCTTCCGGCAAAGCTGTATTATGACTTCCAGGTTTGACGGTGCCCTTTTTTGACGTCATGGGTCGATTGAAACAACGTTCAATCCTTGCGCGTACCCGCCTCCGCAGGCTGCTGATGCGACTACGGCGAGTCGCTTGTCCCAGTTTGTCATGCAATCGTACCACCGGTGAGCTGACTTGCTGCTGCTGCTGCTGCTGCTGCTGCTGCTGCTGCTGCTGCTGCTGTCGTTCTTAATTGTGTTGAGTGTTATCCCCCATCCGAAAACTTCAATGCTCCAGTCTCCGTTGATGTTGGGGGTGACGCCGTATCGCCAATGGGAGACGGCCTACACTGGCCTGTAACCACGGGCCCAATGATCGATTCAGACTATCAAACGTCCGACCACCATGTCAGGAATGGTGTCAGTGTGCAATTCCACACACGGTTTACGAACGCGATGGTTGCAAGTGGCTTGCACGTCACACCCGATGCTCTTATTTTTTTTTAGCGTCCGTTGAGAAAACAAACGTGTGGCCACTCTCAAGAATTCGAACAAAGGTAGACGAAGTTGTGTCATCGTGCGAAGGACATCCCCGTACACTAACGCAACCCCCATACACACTCCGGAGAAGCGAGCACTGATGTGTACACGTCACGTCGGAATGCCTGGGCGTTCCACAAAACCAGGTTCGGGCAGGCGTTTTTCACGGACGTTTTTCCTGGAGATGAAGCAAGCACGATCCGCGAGTGTGCCGCCGACGCGAGCATCGAGCCCGCTGGGTTCACGGACGCAGGATCTTCGGCCGGCGGTGTGCTTCACGGCTCCTCGAGATCAGACGAGCTTTCCGAGCTGCTATGTGGGGACGACGATGACGATGACGATGACGATGATGGTGGGGACGCGCTCCTGAATATCGTTCACGACTTCTGCGCCATGACCGACATGAGTGCTAGCGCTAGCGCTGCTGCAGCAGTCGTCGACAGCGACGTGTCCACCTCGCGCGGGACATGCGGGAGAAGTTTGGAGGAGCGGGTGCATCAGAGAGGGGTGTTCGTGCTTGTCGGTAACGGGGCCATGATGCCGCCAAAACACACCAGCCAGAACATGCAGAAGGTCATAATGGACGCCATANGGGGGGGGGGGGGGGGGGGGGGGGGGGGGGGGGGGGGGGGGGGGGGGGGGGGGGGGGGGGGGGGGGGGGGGGGGGGGGGGGGGGGCGTACTCTTTTGTTGAGTTTTGCATGCCTTAGCGGTTAGACCATCGACCACGCGTCCTCGAGAGGACGGAGCATTGTTCCCACAGGACCGATCACCGATGGCCAATCGTTCCTTCCTGAATACGTTGCCAAAGGGGGCTCAATATTGTCTTCCCTATGTAGTCTTACCTATCCTATGGATGGACAGGTGAGGGGGTCGAGAAACGCACACCGTAGTCAATTAGATTAGACCATTGAACTCGCACCCCTGAAATGCCGAGATGACGGTTGTTTCCTGCGACGGCGTCATTGTGCCCGCGGTTGGCAGCGGCATGCAAGCACCACGGAGATTGGCTGGTCTTTTTCGTTACTTCGCTCGTCTCATGGTCTTTTTCTTTTCGATCACCTGCTGTACGATTTCATTTATTGATACACACGGGTACCGTTAAGTGATGACTTGATTTGTTTTTCGTTTTTTGCCATTCCCGGACTGCGAGGGGTGCGGTCGGCGGAACCCCCCCCCCCCCCCCCCC